TTTTTTTTAATTGTACGCTTATTGTTCTTGGCTTTAATATTGCCTTTTAGTGACGCATAAGACGCCTCTTTCCTCATTGCTCTTAGCTTTCAGTATTGTCTTTTCATGACTCATTGTTTTCAACTTTAAATGTTGTCTTTCACTTTTGTAAGCTGCCTTGGGTCCTTTTCAAGGAGAAAGGCGGGGTAAAAATATTTTAAATACATAAATAATAAATAAACCTTCAAGATCTGCAGCAACACTCTCAGCAGGATGGAACTTTTAAATTTCCCTTGCATTTCATATTCCTCTCTACTTACATGGGCATAAATGTCTAGCTACTGAGGTTACCTACCTTGTATCTGACGGACCGGGCTGCGCTCTTTGACAGCTGAAGCCAAGAAAGCGAAACAAAACCCCAAAACAGCAGCAACGAAACTTGGCAATCTTATCAGGTCCGATAAGATTCTGAGGCTTTTTATGAGTTTCGGTCACCACGGGAACATCTGTCCAGGTGAGTTGTTGTTTTCAACCACTTGCCTCTTACTCGTGGCACAGTGGCACATACTGCAGTACTGTAGTGAAAACTCCGCTCAAGATCTGTATTCAATCCCAGGTAACCAGCTCAAGGTTTACTCAGCCTTCCATCCTTCTGAGGTCAGTCAATGGAGTACCCAGCTTGCTTCAAGGGGGGCAACGTACAGCCTGCATAAATTAAATTGTAAGCCTTCCTTCTGAGGTCAGTCATTGGAGTACCCAGCTTGCTCCAAGGGGGGCAATGTACAGCCTGCATAAATTAAATTGTAAGCCACCCAGTGAGTGCTTTAAGTGCATATAAATAAAACTACGTAGTAATAATATTGGGGCAGTATATAAACTGCACACTTTCTTCTTCTTCTTCGCTTTACTTCGGCTGTACCATCCCTCCCCCTTGTTTCACCGAGCTCAAGACAATACAGACAGGTAATATTCACCCATCATGTTCCACCTAACCCTGCAAGCACCATTTGGAAAGCAGTGAAATTGTCTGGCCCAAATGGGTGATTGGTGGATGATGGTAATTATAGTCCTACAATTTTTTTTAAACTGTTCCCAAAGTCTGTCCCTCTAGCATTAGAGAGTGGCTGGCGCTGGGTGGTCCAGGTGGATGGCCGTAGATCAAGATCGCTGCTTATGGCTTGGCTGTCTTGCTTTAGAGACGGTCACAATGAGCGGCCCCAGGTCCACTGGCATGTCAGAATTCACCAGGACTTAAATGCCTTTCAGACACTTCTCACTGCAGACGAGATAAATATGGCCTGAGATTTATTAACTGCAGCATTGCCCCTTCTCTGTAGTGGATGAGACAGAAGACCAATCTTGGTGAAGGTCTGGTGGAAAATTGGGTCGGGCCAGAATCAAGCTACTTTGGGGCCACCTCAAACCCGCAAGTGGCTGCTGGTGGACCATTCAGGCTGTGGAGTATTTTTTATTTTTTTTACAAATGATGCAGGCGTATGAGTGAATGAATGAGTAAGGAGCCTCTGCTTCTAAGCAGCTAGTTTTCATGAACTTAATAATTGTTTTAGACACTTTTTCTGGCCATGATCTCCCCCCAAAACCCTGAAAACCCTGGGACAGTTGGTGAGTTTTGTGCTTGGGTGAGGATTTGAACACAGGTCTCCCGAGTTCCAGTCCAACATCCTACACAATCTTTGGATTTATTTTAACAAGGTTAAAATACAGATTGGTGTATCATGTTGGGGAATGGTGCTGCAGAAACATGCCACTTACCGCTGCAAAATGCTGGATGAAATAAAATTGTTTTCCTACATAGTCTGCCTCAGTTCTTTCTTGAGTCTCGTCATTCAGTGATCCAACTGCTTTATGAAGCTAATTTTTTTTTAAAAAAATTGTTATCACAAACATAAGCACAGAACTCTGAACTCTAGGAAAAGTAGCACACTTACCCGTCTTCTTAAAACATCAGGCCTTAATGAAGCACTCTTACAATTTGGGGTGATTATACGTTCTGTACACACTATATATATATATCTATATAGAGAGAGAGAGCTGGTGATGAATTATTCAGTTTTGACTGAAGGTAAATTTATTACAGAAATCAAAGTTTACTTTATATCTTGTTCTGCTTGGGAAACTGCTATATAAAATGTGCGAACTTAATGTACTCTTAATTAAGGGTGCCATTAAAGAGGCTTTTTTATGCTCCCTTTAAGCAAAAACATAAAAGCAGTGAAAGAAGTGGATTTTTTTTTTTTTACCATAAACTTGATCACCCATTAAAACACAGATAACAGGGTAGAAAATGGATCTGAACACAGGCTGAAGGTATGCCCAGCCATTCAGAGGCCTGTGCAGGAAAAGGATGTGCTCTGTTGTTTTTAAATGTGTTTTAGGAGTGTTTCTCTTTACCACTTTTAATATAATTTTTGTTTAATTCTTTTAAAAATGTTTTTAAATCTTGTCTTTTTAATGATGTAAGCTGGCCTGGGTCCTTTTCAAGGAGGGA